GCTTCCATCCAACGACTTCAGGCTCTTTATGGGGTCGTCGATGAAAGAAATCGTCCTCGCAGAGAACGCCGATACCACCTTCACGAACGACGCCAAGTCCCCCCATTTTTTTCCCTGAGCAATGTAGTCCTCGTGCAGCACGTAGAGTGAGTCACAAGTGTTCCCGCGCCGTCGATCCTTTGAAACTTCAACTCGCAACGCTCTGGGCTCCCGTGCTTCTTCAAGAAGGTTGCGAGTCTACCACTGTTGTTGTGAGAATGTGTTATCTGTCTAGTCTGCAATGGGGTATTCTATAGTGAGTACAATCTGATTAGGGTTTGCTATATGTACTGCCTTGCTTACTAATGCAACCCTCTTTCCTGTTCTAACTTTCTCCTGCTGATTCTAACGTGGTATCAAAGCGGTTACGCTCCTGGCTTGTGGGTCCGCCTGCTTCCGCTGCCATACTGTCTACCGTACGCCCCGTGGTGCACGACCTTCTTTTTTTTCTTCCCGCCACGCGTTTGGGGCGCGTGGCGGTTTCGTTTCCCGTCGTGGTGCCCCGGGGGCCCGCGCACTATCCCCTCCTGTCGCCCATCGTGGCGCCCTGGGGGCATGCGCGTCGCCCCACCTCCCGTCGCCCGCCGCGGCTCCCTGGGGGCCCGCGCGTCGCCCCCCTTCCCGTCGCGCGTCGTGGCGCCTGGGGGCTTGAGCGTCGCCCCCTCCCATCGCCCGCCGTGGCGCCCTGGGGGCCCGCGCGTCGCCCCCTTCCCGTCGCCCGTCGCGGCGCCCTAGGGGCCCGCGCGTCGCCCCCTCCCGTCGCCCGTCGTGGCGCCCTGGGGGCCCACACGCTGCCCTGTTCTTCGCCCGTCGCAGCGCCCCAGGGACCCACGCCCCGCCCTGCTTTCCGCTCGCACGCCGCCCCAGCTGCTACCCGCCTCGCCCCGCCTGCGTTTGGATCTTGGGGTGGCGGGTATGGGGGTGCGGTTATGGGGGTGGCGGGTGTGTGAGCCATCCCCTGCTCCTCCTCCTCCTCCGTCTCCCAGTGCTTTAGCTGCCGTTGAGAGGGGTGGTTGTGTGGGAGCCGAGGGAGTGGTGCTAGGGGGGTGACATGGGAGTGGAGCTAGGAGTGCAGCAAGGGGTGTGTGAACGGGAATTTTGGGACGATGGGGGAGGTCGAAGGGGGGGTGGCCGCCGTGAAGCCAGCAGCTCCAGACGCCCGTGAAACCGTTGCGCCAGTCGCCCGTGAGCCCGTTTCTCCAGTCGCCTGTGAGTCAGTTGCTCCTGTCCCCCGTCTAGCCGCGGAGCCAGTTACTCCAGTTGCCCGTGTGCCAGTTGCTTCAGTTGTCAGTGTGCCAGTTTCTCCAGTTGCCCGTCTTCCAGTTGCTCCCGTTGCGCCGTCTACCAGCAGCTTTAGCTGCCTCCCACCACCTCCTCTCCTCTCATAGTCCCCCCTAGTGGTGCTAGGGGGGTGACATGGGAGTGGAGCTAGGGGTGCTGCAAGGGGTGTGTGAACGGGAATTTTGGGACGATGGGGGAGGTCGAAGGGGGGGTGGCCGCCGTGAAGCCAGCAGCTCCAGTCGCCCGTGAAACCGTTGCGCCAGTCGCCCGTGAGCCCGTTTCTCCAGTCGCCAGTGAGTCAGTTGCTCCTGTCCCCCGTCTAGCCGCGGAGCCAGTTACTCCAGTTGCCCGTGTGCCAGTTGCTTCAGTTGCCAGTGTGCCAGTTTCTCTAGTTGCCCGTCTTCCAGTTGCTCCCGTTGCGCCGTCTGCCAGCAGCTTTAGCTGCCTCCCACCACCTCCTCTCCTCTCATAGTCCCCCCTAGTGGTGCTAGGGGGGTGACATGGGAGTGGAGCTAGGGGTGCAGCAAGGGGTGTGTGAACGGGAATTTTGGGACGATGGGGGAGGTCGAAGGGGGGGTGGCCGCCGTGAAGCCAGTAGCTCAAGTCGCCCGTGAAACTGTTGCGCCAGTCGCTCGTGAGCCCGTTGCTCCAGTCGCACGTGAGTCAGTTGCTCCTGCCGCCCGTCTAGCCGCGGAGCCAGTTACTCCAGTTGCCCGTGTGCCAGTTGCTCCAGTTGCCAGTGTGCCAGTTTCTCCAGTTGCCCATCTACCAGTTGCTCGCGTTGCGCCGTGTGCTAGCAGCTTCAACTGCCGCCCACCACCTCCTCTCCTCTCATAGTCCCTCCTCCTCCTCACTTGCCCTCTGTGATAGTCTCTAGCTTTGCTTATATTTGTGAACTATGAACTGCTGCTTGTTGTGCTGATCATCCCCCACTTTGACTATGGGGGTGTGTCAGAATGTGTTATCTGTCTAGTCTGTAGTGGGGTACTCTATAGTGAGTACAGCCCGATTAGGGTTTGCTATATGTACTGCCTTGCTTACTAGTGCAACCCTAATTCCTGTTCTAACTTTCTCCTACTGATTCTGACAGTTGTTGCCAAAGGTGGAGCCATACTCTACGTAGCGAGTGGTCAACGTCAGGGTGGTGTGTTGCACCATCGGCAAAAATTGCGTCACATCAAGCTGCAAATATAAAACGGAAGCCGAATTAGTCTTGGCACGAAAACCCAAGGGGAGACTATGCACAACACCTCCTTACCTGTCGTCGCTGTAATTTGAGATTGAGGCTGTTCAGCTCCTGAAGCACATCAACTAGAAAGAAAAGAAAAAACGGAAACCTCAAACTGGTTACAAGGGTGTATGAAGCCCGGTTGTATTCATACAGCAGGACGATGGCTGCAGGCAGCATGTCAGCAAAGCGCTCAATGGCGTCCCCGCGTGAAAGCCACCGGGCATCCTTGATGCCTTGCATTTCCAAGTTGGTGCGAGTTATCACATCCTTCAGCATCTTGAATCGCGCATGTTGCATGATGGAGCGGCCGAGAATGTCTGTGAAGGCTCTGACGACTTTGTCAATGACGTTGAACTCGGGGAACTCGAGAGTGGCATCTTTCGCAGCCAGAGCCTGCCTGCAGAAGTAACATGCAACAGATTAGTGAGCTAGCTGCGAGAGAAAGAAGCACAAGCTACAACCTGACACCGGTACACAACCTGTGGGCAACGCAATGGCATGTAACAATGTGCGGGACCCGTGTGTGTAAGTGCGGCACTGAGGCCTGTCTGGCCGCCCGTCATAACTATCGCGCCGTCCGTGGTCATGCCGCTGATTTTGGACAGCTCGAGGCCGCAAGTAGCAAGGTGTGTAAGAAGGACGGTCTCAAGCAACCCAGCATCGCACTTCTCGACAGATACGTTGACGAAGAACTCGGTCACCACCGCCGTTTCGGGGAGAAACGTGGCATACACAATTATGTGTTTGCCACGCCTTCTGTCCGTGCTTTCATCCAACTAAAGGCCAATGAAGGGACTTCGTCTAATGTGCTGCATCTGCTTCGCCTTCAAGTAGCACACACTAAAATATACCATATATATGCACTCGGGTATTATGTAGCTTTTTCCTATGAGAAGACACCCCCCTTTTTTCCCTGTACTTTTAGATCTACCCTACGGTATTATGTCCAGGAGAATACGGGTATTGCCCTCTCTCTTCTTTTTTGTATGGTACCATTTTCTGCTCCGTGCTTCCTTCTCTCTTGTATCGCCCAGTCCAATAATTATAATTCATGGCCATCTGCTGTACCATCTTTGTACAAAAGCCTTCCCACTTCTTGTCTCTACCCTGGCAGGCATGCTACAATTAACACTTGCTACCTTACCACCGGTAACCAGCTTCAGATTCACAAAGCATCTCTCCTGCCATCCCTTTGAGATTTTGATAACTACCGTGTTTGCTCTACCTTCTTTGTACGAAACACTCTGACCTCTGGTTCCTGCCCTGGCAGGCATTTACCTCATGATTCACAAAGCCTTGAATTGTTCTACTTGGGGGAATGCATTGCAGTACATGCAATAACAAGCATGGATATATAATGATAGGCAATCATGGTGTCATGACAATTATGGCAAGATGGGAGACCTAACAACGAGGCGCACTGGCACAGAATGGCCATGCTGGTCAGTCCATGTGATTTTTCCAAACCTAAACGACTCTAACGGCAAGAACCTTATAATCGAGACCCTAAACACCCTTGATTTTCCGGGGCGAATGGTCATCTTCTTCGGCCAAACTCTCACGATAAAGCCCGGTGGAGGGACCACCTTCACGCTATAAGTAGATTTCAGGTTGTAGACGTTTTTCACTCGCCGGTACACTACAGTAACGCCGTGTAGTCGAGTTACAGCAATCGAGGCGCGGTTGAGGTTCCAGGGGAAAACTGGATGTGCCTTTCCCATGCGCCGAAATCGCTTCTTCGTTCTTATCGGGTCCCTCATCATGAGGAAATTGACAAAGTGCTTGTGAGCTGCATGAAACGTGAGCCCAGGGTCCAAGACACGCGTGGGATCCACGTGCCCTCCTCCATAGTCCCACGCGGTCGCTTTCGTTCCATCTGCCCGTTGAATCGGCTGCCCGTTCTTATTCCTCGTGTATGCCGTCGTAGTTATCGCGGAGATCACTTGCGAGGGGGACCAGCTCGGCTTGTTCTGCACCATCAGCGCCATGATCCCCGCCAACTGCGGCGTCGCCATAGACGTCCCGGACCAGTAATTGAAGTTCGGCGCATCGGTCGCAGCAGTTTTGTCTGATTCACCCGTACCTGCGGACCATAGTTGGTACCCCGGCCCAATGACGTCGGGCTTAAGAATGTCGTTGGTGGGAAAGTCGCGGAGCAGAAGTGCGGGAGGGTAAATTGGGCTTCGGGGGGGGCCAGTGGAGGAGAAGGAAGTGAGCTGGGGGGCGTTGGAGGAGTAGGAGACGGTGAAAGTGGAAAGTGTGGCTGTGGGGCTGCATTGGCATGAAGGGGAGGGGAGAGGGAAAGGGGATGGGGGAAGCAGGAAGAGGAAAGGGAGAAGGGGAAAAGAGGAAGTGGGAAGATGAGGGGGTGGGGGATGAAAATTAGCATGAGTGCTTTAGAGAGGAGTGCAGGAGTTGGAAGAAAGCAGGGAAGCAATGGAAGAAGAAATTAGGGAAGCGATGGAAGAAGAAAACAGGGAAGGGATAGGGAAGCAATGAGGGAAGAGTTGCAGGCAGTGATGAGGGAAGAGTGGAGAGACGAGAGGGGAAATGAGCAGGAATTGGAGGAAAGAAGAGTGGAGGGAAGATATGAGTGAAGAGAGGAGGGTACAGAGGAGAGAATAGATGAGAGAATAGAGGACGGAGGAGTTGGAGAAGTACAGAAGGGAAGCGAGGAGAGAGAAGAGGAAAGCGTAGAGGAAAGAAGGCTGGATGATAGGGAAGTAGGGGAGGAGGGTGGAGTGGGCTTGGTAGTGGGGGTTGTGGGGGAGGACAATCCAAGGAGGCAAGTGGTTGATGTTGATAGAGTAAAACTACTATTTAGTCGACTAAAAAAAGGGCTGATAGTGGAGACCTTTGAAAACTGCCTACATTGTAGAAATACATGGCCAACCTTTGCAAGAAATCGCGAGTCAAGAGAGAGAACATTCAAGTCCTTAAGAGACTTTTACCTGCTTGTAGATCTGGAGTATCTTATGACAGCCATCCCCTGTGAGTATGTCAAGTAGATGCTGGGTGTCTTCGAGAAGGGAATAAAAGGCTGCACATCGAACTTGGGCGAATGGCTAAAAACGAGTGTAGCAGCTTGCCCCTTGTCGGCTATTTCTCCTAGCATCCATTCGAGATCATTTGTCTCATAAAACTGGCCAAAAGCGCACACAAGGAACTTGCCAGCGATTTTGGCAAAATCCAGACTCCCGAAAGTGCAACGACCGTTTGACGCCTGGTGGAGGGAAGGGAGGCAAAAGAAGAAAGATTTACTCTTGGGAGTCTGTATAAAGTCTGGATGGTGCTTGAGAGTCGACCCTAACTGGAGAAACAGCCAAGGTGGGCGTCAAGAAGAGATCAACGCGGCAGCCACTGATGTGGTTTCAGCCAGCCAACCATACGGTCTGGATATCTGTCGTAACCCTCTCTCGCCTCAACACTGAATGCAGCTTAAGCTCCCTTGGCCGTGGACCCTTCAATTCCACATAGCACGGGTCCCTTGGAAGGACACAGTGGAGTGAGCCGTATAGACTAGGCAAAGACACGCCTCTAAACCACTTGGAACCTTTCTCACTAGCCCTACATCCCCAAAATACACTGCAGAATGAGTCACGTAGATTAGTCCAAGGCACACCTCAGAACCCCAAACTCGTACCGCATATATATCGCGTATTAGGGGTAGATCTGACGCTGTGGCAGTGTTGCCTCCGAGGCTACGCCCTGTGAGGGTGGTTCCATCGCCCAGGGTGACCACAGCCTTATAATCCCGCCCCATGGTGCTGCGGGAAAGGGCAGTGGTTGGGGGAGGGGAACTTTGAGGGGCAGACCTGATGCTGCGGCAGTGGTCCCGCCAAGTAGAGACCAGCCTTGTAATCCCTCCCCAGGGTGAGCACGGCCATGTAATCCCGCCCCATGATGCGATGCCGAGGAGGGGAACAATGCTGGTTCAAAGTTGGCTGACTAATCACTTGCTCTGACGTCACCCCAGGGTGGGCCGAAAATGGCACTCCCGCCTCACTGTGCTGTAGTGGGGATGGGAACGGAATTGGTTGGAGTGTGAAGGAGAGGGGAGAGAAGGATTGTGCTGCGTGAGATATTCCTAAGAAAAATACAACCAAAAAAGGAGAAAATATAAAAAGGGGGTAGGGGGAGGGTGGGGGGCGGGGGGGAGGGGACTGACACATTCCCAAGGTGCCCTACAACCCTCTCTAAAAATAACATCTTCTTCCTTGCTATTCTCACGTTCTGTGAAGTCACTTGCTACCCCACACCACCAGCATTCACACCTTTTTGAGCCACCTCAGAAGGTACCCCGCACCTCCACCACCATCCAGCCCCATTGCCACGCACACTTCCAACCATACCTTGCTCCCACTGTGAGGTAGAAGGGAGAGGCAGTCGAAAGAGTGCCCCACATGAACTTGCTGTTGGGCCGACCCGAGTTTCCAGCCGCAAAGGCTGTGACCACTCCAGCCTGAATATTAGACAGGTGAGAACCGGAGAGTGAGAGGATGGGAATAGGAGGTTGAGAATAGGAGGGTGCGAACAGGAGGCTGAGAATGGGAAGGTGAGAATAGGAAGGAGATTATCCGAGGGATGAGAATGAGAGGGTAAGAATAGGATGGTGCGAATGGTGTGAATGATTGGATGAATATGGGAGGCACAAGGTTGTAGCGTAGGCCCTGGGAATGAGGCCTGCCAGTCTGGCAGATTGGGAAGCATGAGAGCATCGCAAAGGCCTGCTGCTCTTTGCCTTTCCCTCTTTGCCTTTCCCTCCTTGCCTTGTGAAAATGCTGTGATGACCACTATGCAGCCCTCGAAAGCAGGCTGCCAGCACCTCATTGTAACCCTAGATTCCCACCTTTAGGCCTCGCAGGTAGGGCAGATCTTGGAAGTACAAGGGAAGAGGCCCCCCCCACGAGCATGATATCACGTCCACCCCATCAGCTACTGCATTCTCCGCAGCAGCAACAAGATCAGAAAACGACCCGACCCCTTCAGATGTCACAGTGTTCCACAGCGCCTTGTATATTGCCAGTCTGGCTCGGGGTGCCATGCCCGAAGCTGTGCCATAGGTTCGGCCGCCTGTTGTCACCTCCACACCTGCGTTTCCAGCAGCGGCTCTGAAGTGGAACGAACAGGGGAGTAGGTAGGTGTGGCATTTTTGTAACACTTGTGTTAGGCTCGTTGATGTGCCGTGATTTGGGCTGCCTGTTTTTACATCCACCCATGTGTTACCAGCAGCCGCTTTGAAGGGGGAGGAGGAGGGGAGGGGAGGGAGTAGGAGAGGAATTTGAACGACACTCATGGCATGTTTGTATCATGCCATTTGAATGACACTCATGGCATGGTTGTATCACAACATTAAAATGACACACATGGCATGGTTGTATCACAGCATTAAAATGACACTCATGGCATGGTTGTATCACAGCATTAAAATGACACTCATGGGGTTGTATCACAGCATTAAAATGACACTCATGGCATGGTTGTATCATGTCACTTGAAAACTCTCATGCCCATGGTTGTATCGTGGCACTTGAAAAACTCTCATGCCCGTGGTTGTATCGTGGCACTTGAAAAACTCTCATGCCCGTGGTTGTATCGTGGCACTTGAAAACTCTCATGCCCGTGGTTGTATCGTGGCACTTGAAAACTCTCATGCCCGTGGTTGTATCGTGGCACTTGAAAAACTCTCATGCCCGTGGTTGTATCGTGGCACTTGAAAACTCTCATGCCCGTGGTTTTATCGTGGCACTTGAAAAACTCTCATGCCCGTGGTTGTATCATGTCACTTGGACGTCCACACCAGCGTTCGCAGCAGCCGCTCTAATGGAGAAATGGGAGGGGAGAGGAGTAGGTGTGAGATTTGGATGACACGTGGCACTGCTTGTGGCCGATGCACTCACCCCGGACACCTCGTGCCATGTTGGAGCATGTCCAACCAGCATGTCTAGCATAGCTGTCCAGCATGCCTGTCCCGCACACCCCACATATCCCACATGTCTAGGATGGGAGAAGCAGAGCGCATCGCACTCACCCAGCGCACCACATGCCTTGCTGCAGCATGTCCCGGGCGGCAGGTAATCATCTTCGCTCTTCACTTTGCCAAACTTCCACTCAGTGCCCTTTAGAGAGTCTTGAGACATCTCAAATCGGATCTAATATCTCGTCACTCACCCGTAATCGAATTTCATATCCCATCACTTACCCCGCGCACCACGTGCCGTGCTGCGACTTGAAATTGTCCCGTGGTGACCGGTAATTATAGTCGCTATCCAGCATGTAAAACTCCCGCAGAAAGCCCTTCAGATAGTACCTCGCCCCAACCACCTTGCCGTTGCACGCCGTGAAGTCGTCTGTTGTGCTGCATACGCCTCTCCAGCGCACCGGGGCAGCAGAATAAGGCACTCCGTTTTGGTCCTGGGGACCGAAAAGGAGAGGAAGGGTGATAAGAGAGAGAAAGAAGGGTGGTGGTGCATTGTAGTGCACATGCCTTCTTAGTATGTCAGCACCGCATAGTAATGGGTCCTGGCGGGTGGTGGAAGGGTATGGATAATAAGAGGGCGACAAAAAGAGGAGAGAGAAACGGGGGCCAAAGAAGTGAGGGCATGGAGCTTTAAGTAGACTAGTGTAGTGGCCACATCTCTCTTGGTGCACTCGCCTCTCCAGCATGTTGGGGCAGCAGAGTAAGCCTCTCTGTTTGAGAGAGGGGAGGCGCAAAAGAAGAGAGATGTGGGGGGATTGAGAGGGGATGGAATGAGGACGGGGGAGGACACAGTAATGGTTGGAAAATAATATTAGCCGAGGAATTATTGACTGGCAACCTCTGAAAGTATTTCTAAGCCAGGGTAAAAGAAGTAAAAGTGCAAATCCAAAATGTTAAGACAGGGGTGTTCGGGCTTACAGGGTTGGAGAAGGAGGGGTGTTCGGGCTTACAGGGTTGGAGAAGGAGGGGTGTTGGGGCCTACAGGGTTGGAGAAGGAGGGGTGTTGGGGCTTACAGGGTTGGAGAAGGAGGGGTGTTCGGGCTTACAGGGTTGGAGAAGGAGGGGTGTTCGGGCTTACAGGGTTGGAGAAGGAGGGGTGTTCGGGCTTACAGGGTTGGAGAAGGAGGGGTGTTGGGGCTTACAGGGTTGGAGAAGGAGGGGTGTTCTGGCTTACAGGGTTGGAGAAGGAGGGGTGTTCGGGCTTACAGGGTTGGAGAAGGAGGGGTGTTGGGGCTTACAGGGTTGGAGAAGGAGGGGTGTTCGGGCTTACAGGGTTGGAGAAGGATGGGTGTTCGGGCCAGATCCCTGTGTCGATCACTCCGATGATCACTCCCTCTCCTGCGTTGCTCTGCCCGCCATTAGCTGGCCACAGGCTCGAGTCGAGCTTGAGGAACTGGGGGGAGTGCACCGAGGTCACTCGCACTGTGCGGTCTCTCTCCACGTCTGCCACTGCTGGGTGCAATTTGAGTCGCCTCACCTCTGCAGCGGTGAGCTGCGCTGCGAAGCTGTTCATCAGATAGGTGTAGCTGGCGGGTGGAAAGGGGGGGGGGGGGGGGGAGTGGGAGGTGGAAGAGGGGGAGGGTGGACGGGAGGCAGGCGGCCCGAGGGGGTGATTGAGGCATAACCAACGGAGGTTACCCGCACTACTGCCACTGCCGGGTGCCTCTTGAGTCGCCTTGCCTCAGCAACCTCCCTCGGGCATGACTTCCCCCAAGTGCAGACGTCAGACACAGCATGCCTCTGTAGGTGACTTGTAAAGACAAATCTGCTCAACACGTATGGGTAGAATGCACGTTGGGCCGCACTGAAATAACTGATGTTCGGGCGTGTAACATTCCAGCTAATGAGGTGGCTTGAGATTGGCCCACTTATGAACCCCCACCTGTGGGAAAGGGACAAGGGCATAACCATAGGAAGCTTCTGAGCGGGCCAAAGTACCCCCTTCCACTCATGACTCATCCTACCTTTCCCCCTCCCTCCCCAACTCACCTGTGGAAAACGGCCTAGGCTAGAGCCTTGAGAAACGTTGGGTGGACCAAGATACTGCCTCCCACCTCTAAAATCCGAACAGCCCCACCCCCCTCCCCAACCTACCCACACCACCCCTCTTCCCCCCTATCCCCCCTCCCCACCTGTGGAAAATGGCTGAGGAAGGGATCTTAAGCGACTGCAGCAGGCTGCGGTGAGAAGCTTCCAGGAAGCGTGTGAAATCCTGGACGTGTGGTAACCGCACGTCGGGTCGCGTGAGTCGGCCCCACGGCGTTGAGCGCATGATGCGTGCCGCACGTGCACTCAGCTGCTGCACCGTCAGCACTGCTGACGTGGCTCCACTTGCCATCGGTGCCTTCTCTCCGACTGGCGCAGCTTCTGCTGATGATGATGCTGATGCTGAGCTGGCACCACCCTCTCGGGGTGCTGCTGATGATGATGCAGATGACAGAGTGATAGGAACGCTGCTGACAGTAGCAGAAACGGTGGACGGGTAAAAGGATGAGTTTTGGAATGGCTGTGTGACAGCAGCAGCAGCTGCACCTGCACCACCACCAGCTGCTGCTGCTGCTGCTTCCTCTGCTGCTGCGGCCACTGCAGCAGCAGCAACGCGGGCCAGCAGGCGCCGCCCAACAGACCGCGATTTCATCTTTCTCAGCCGCTGACCCACCCTCTCCACCAGCGCATCCACCCCGGTTCGCCCAAACGGCAGTGCGCTCACCTTCACCGCTCCTCTGATTCCTCCTCCTCCGCTTCCCACTCCTCCCAATCCTCTTTCTGCCCCACCTGCTGCTGCTGCTGCTACCCCTGCCATCTCCAACGCCGCCTCTGCAGCAGATGCAGCAGCAAACTGAACATCGGCATCAAAGCCATTCTCACCAGATTCTGACCCTCTCAGTTGCTCTTTTGATTCTGCCGCTGCCATTGTTGCAGCTACCCCTGCTGCTGCTCCTGATGCTGCTGCTGATCCTGGTGCAGTGCCATTGCCGCCAACTCCACCGATGCCCCCATTGCCATTACCAACAGCATCGCCATCCTCCCCATAATCCTCATCACCCACGTCATCCACGTCTTCCTCGTCCTCATACTCGTCGTCCTCATCGTCGACGGTCGCTGTGGCCTGCAGCCCGTTTACTCCCCCCCGGTACGACAGCACTGGCGGCACCGACGATAGATGCACGATGTACTGCTTTGTGTTGGGCCTTCCGGCTGTCAAAGAGAGGTGGTTGGAGAGAAAATTAGGGAGGTAAGAGAGCACCACACATACGATGGACCACAGAGCACCACTGAGCTTGAATCTGCCCGGACATAAATCCTTGTGATTACCTGGTTGTGCCGCGTGATGGACAGCAGAGCACGGCCGTATGGGCATCATGGTCATAACGGCCAGGAGAGCAACGATCATGGCCGTACCGGCGGCAGGCAGAAGCCATGATGAGAAACAGCTGACTTTACTACTTGATCTGCAACTCATGATGGTCTCCATACACTGGTGTGACAGGCACCTTGGATTTTTGTGAGATTCTGTACTAACCTGCTCGACTAGAAATGCAAGAGAAATAAATCAAGTATTACTAATAACCTATAGGCACTATAACCTATCTCTCTCCACTTCAGATCCCCATCATTTCTATATTACGTGATTTGTACTTAATCAAAGCCTGTATGAGAGGAAAAGGAGGGTAATCACCAAAGGTCGTGGGGGCTCTCAAAAGTCGTTTGACTCTCTCCGGCATTCCTAGCGAGTTGTCTCGTTTAAAAACGTGACAACCACTGCAAGTGCTGTGCATGTGCACATGCCAAAGCACCTCGTGAGCAAAACCTTAGGACGGTGCCTCCCCGGACGTGCTCCGCTTAGAACTTCGGAGTTTCCCACCTGAATCGTGGGTTGTTTCGCCAACCAACCAGGAGTTCGAGCCTCTGTTCCCCATTCGAAAAGGTACTTTCGAAAAGTACCTTTTCGGTCGTCACACGTCACCTACGGTTTGGTGCGTCAAAACATTATGCTGCTCATGGCCCTGTTATTTGGCTACGATAGGCGACAGAGCCAGCACTGTGCAAGGACGCGGCACCTCTAGCATCGATCAGGCGATCGATCCTGCGCAGGATCGAAGTACGGTTGAATCAGCAATCCTGCGATCGATCGTGCAAAATTGCTTGAGGTGCCGCGTCCTAAGTTGTGCTGTGCGTGGGTGATCCATGTTGGAGGCAAGTCTACACATTTCAAACCACCTCTGGGTCGGTTGGTTTGGGGCGGTGCGTCGAAGAGGTTGGAATCGAACCGCCTCAAACTCGTACGAAGTTGTGTTTGACCGGTTTCGGCCAATCATGCTTCACGCTCGCTTGCCTTGCTGGCATTCGTCCCACTCGGCACCTCGTGAATGACAAGAGTTGACGCAAACGATATCACTCGACTCACTGGAATCAAGAGGGGATCCGCCACTGGATACAGAAAGCTGTTTACCCAGAAAGGAGTTACGTCTTTAGGTACGTTGCATTATATGATGTGTTTGGTTCAATGAATAAAAATGCATGTTAATAAATTCTTCTCCTTGGCCCCAAGGTAGCCTATCATGTGCAAAAATCCAGAAACAATTAAGAAAAAAAATGGGGCAAAAGTTGTTATTTAACAGCTAGGAGCAAGGCCTATTTTATAAGTGTGAATTGCCCTTATACTTTGATAAACATGGTGAATTTTAGGGGTCACACTGATGCCTCTTTGTAAAGAAAATGGAGAATATAATTTCCCTGATTCGTAAGGGTAATGGTTTCGGCCACACTGAAAGTGTAGTGTAATTTTCCCTTCGTTGGAATAACCGCCTTCAGTTATAACATCACTCTTTATCAAATATTACCCTGAACAACATAGGCCTTGTTCGACTGCTGCATCAGGGTTTAGGCTCGGGTACCAGCACAGGTTCGTTGGTGGTGCTTGGGTACCAGGCTTGGTTCGGGTGTGGTGCTCGAACGAGAGGAAGTGGTTTGGGGTTTGTCAAATTGGTTCTATTGGTCTGTCAAGTTTGTCAAACACGGTAGGTGTTCGACTTTTACAGAGCGGGCAATTTTGTGGGTCAAGTTAGTCAAACTCGGGGGGTGTTCAACTTGGCGGGCCCCTTATTCTGCCCCACACCAGCTGGTGCTGTCCCGCATCAGCTGGTGCGCGCATGGTGCTAGCTCTCCACGGATGCACCATGCGCGCATTAGTGGTGCGTCGGTTTGCCAGGAGAGGAGGGTTCCGGGAACGCACATTCAGTTCCCGAACCTGGGGCCAAAAAGGGTGTTCGGCTGCCATCATGCACTAGTTCGCTTCGGTGCTCATGCGCCTATCCCAGCCCTGAGTCAGCAGATCCCAGATCCGAGTCAACACTTGTCCGCTTCTCTCAGAAGCTTCTAGGGAGCACACTTTACTGTAGCTGGTACCCGAGCCTGTGCCTGATGCGCCAGTCGAACAGGGCCATATAGCACCCCCACACCCCCACACCCCCCTCCCTTCTCTTCCAAATCTCGATTCTCTCGACTTATTGAGATGAAAATTCCTGACAGTTTCGTCTCGATAACATCTTCGTAGCTCAGTTCGGCATCCAGAGGGGAAGAAAAATGTTAGGAAGACGAGGGGAAGGTGAGGCGCACAGCAACCCAGGGTCAACGAATTTTGACCCTGGTTGGAAAAAACACCGCAAATCCAGCCACAATTGCCCTCACATTCGAATGTCCCAGAGCACTGTAGGAAAGCGAAACAGTCTCGCCCAAAAAATGGGGGGGGGGGGGGGGGTTGGCACCAGGGCTGATTTTATTAGGGTAATTACTCTGATTTCAGGGTGATTTCAGACTTGTCACATTCTGGTCCCTGTAATTTCAGGTTTCTCGTCTTATGGATACTGATCTTGTTAGAGTAGTACTTTAGCGAACCCTGGAATTTTGTAAACACTCACAGAGTAGTGTTCTTAAGGACCCTGTCCATACATAGTATGCGTCTTGTTGACCCTGAAGATAACGTTATCGGGACGAGGCTTCCAGGAACCTTGGTCTCGATAACCCCCATGTGCGTAATCATGATTACGCTCGCACCCATCTCAGGGACTCCGTGAGCGCTATCCAGGTTATCGCAGTACACTATGTTTCTGTTAGAATGACTAAGAATTCAGTTTCTGATTTCTGCTAGCTGTAAACTTAAACCGAGAAACAAATCGCAATCTGACGGATCGCAAAGTGATTCGGCAGGAGATTAAAAAAAAAACCATCCGTAGTGAAACACTATATCGCCATGTGCCTGATAATTTATAGTCATCAGCTGTTTTTCGTTAACTTTTGAGAAAAAAACATGTGTAAATTATAATAATTGTGAAACTAAACAAGACACTAAAACTGAAAAACGTCTCCCCCTACCAAAACCAGGTCGAGTCTCGACACCCCTCTCATGAGCAGTCCGTTCCCCCATTTCCTCCCCCCCTCCTCCCCCTTTTGTGCGGACGACCCGCGGTTACGAAATAGCCCCCACCCACCCCTCACACTTGCTCCCTCCCCCTTTGCACACCCCTCGCTCTCGCCCCTGCGCCCCTAGGAGTTCCTCCCACGCCACATGCACTCCCTCTAGCCAATCCGCCAATCCAACTAGATTTGCCAGGTCAAACACGTCACTGTTTTTCTCGCCAAACTAGAAGAACCCTGATTTCAATTCGCCAACCCTGACAGCCCAGACTTACGATTTCGTGAACCCTGAACATCACAAGGCTCAGGCTTGGCGTTTTGCGGAAAATGTGCCTTCAGGGTAAATCTCTTTTTGGGGGATTGAAAACAGGGTACCCATATTTGAATCGTCAGCCCTGGTTGGCACCCCACACTGTTGGGCAGGAAATATATTGGAGTAGGTTTTTTAAATTATTATTAACCCTTTCCTTTGTAGGGTGCAGTGTTGTCCTTTGAACAGTTCTTCTGGAATCAAAAGGTTGATTCTTGTGTTGTGAAAGAATCACTTTTTTTGGAATGTATATTTTGCCTACTCTACTGGCTCAGCTTGCTATGAGTTCTTGCGCGCAACACACGGCTAAGACAGGTTCCCAGCAGATGCTGGTCTAATAGGTGGCACCATAACGACATGGTACCAGCTCTGCCCCCTTATGACTCTGAGTTGAGTCAAGTGAAAAAGACCCGCGGGCTGTAGCATTGGCTCGAACGCGCAAGGGCAAGACCAACTTGCCAGGGGCACCACACTTCAATCGCAAGCAAAACATGGCTTCTCTCCTTGAAAAGAAACGAGAATGGTCTTAGGAGCCATAGCTGGGAAATCCCTAGCTAGGCAAGAATAGTTTAGGCAAAAGAGGGGTTGCACTAGCAAGAATGAGGATACAAATAGCAAACCCTAGAAGGGTTGTACTTGTCAGAACATCATAGCTTATGCTTTTGTGTAGGCTATAGTGGGGTAGCCCATAAGGGGTACAGCCCAATTAGGGTTAGTACTTGTACCCAAATTTTTCATAGTTCATCCATTCTCGTTTCTTCTCATGGTTTCAGAGCAGGTTCCCCAGTGAGAACGCTACCTAGGGCCCACCACGAAATTTTTTTCCTGCCCGGAGCGCGCCTTAGACTAGACCGAGTCGCGCGCGCCCCGTGTGCCCTCCCTTCCATCACGCCGCCCTTTGTGGCCCCTTGCGCTGCCCGTCGACCCCACGCGCCGCCCTAGCGGCCCCTCCTTGCGCCACCCGTCGACCCCGCGCGCCGCCTTAGCGGCTCCCTGCGCCGCCCGTCGACCCCGCGCGCCGCCCTAGCGGCCCCCTGCGCCACCCGTCGACCCCGCGCGCCACCCTAGCGGCCCCCTGCGCCGCCCGTCGACCCCGCGCGCCACCCTAGGGGCGCCTTATGCCACCCGTCGACCCCGCACGCCGCCCTTGCGGCCTCGCCGCCCTCACCTGCGGCCCCGTCGCCCTCACCTGCGGTCCCCGCCGCCCTTACCTGCGGCCCAGCCGCCTTCCCTGCGGCCCCGTCACCTGCTGCAGCGCCGGCCGCCACCTGAGCCGCCCCGGCCGCCTCACCTCGCCGAGCACCCGACCGCCGCGCTGCCCTGCAGCAGCATGGCCGAGCCGCCCAGCACCTGAGCAGCCGAGCAGCCGAGCCGCCCAGCAATCGAGCAGCCGAGCCGCCCTGCACCCGAGCCGCCTAGCAGCCGAGCCGCCCAGCCGCCGAGCCGCCCTGCAGCCGAGCCGCCCTGCAGCCGAGCCGACGTGCAGCCGAGCCGCCGAGTCGCCCAACCTCCGAGCCGCCCGAGCAGCCCCGTCCGGTGAGCACAGTGCCTCTTTTCCTGCACTGCCCTCACCCTACTGTTGCACTGCTAGTCTACTGTGGTCATGGCCACCCCTAGTGTCCTCGCTTTTGACGCTGAGGGTCGAGCCATTGAGTTTGACGTCTGGGTAGATGACGTGCAGCTGTTTTTACAGTGGGATAGGGCAGACGGTCTCTCACTCTTTGACCTCACCTCTG